CCACCGTACCGACCGGCCGACGGTCGCCCCCTTTTATACGGATCCGCCGACCTTCGACGCCGTCTTGCACATCACCGCGACCTCGAAGGCGTCTCGTAGTATCCGATCGGACGACGCCAATTTTTTCCACCGACTCTGTCCCCCCCCCCCCCCCCGCTGCCAAAGCCGCCGCTAATTGTTTGAAATTAGACAATTAAATAGGGGGAGGGGGGGGCTATGCCCCCTCTCTTGCCCCCAGGCGAAATTTTTCCCGCTGAATTTGCTCGTGTAAATCCAGAAAGTACGCTGCAAAAATTTTTTTCCTCCTCGATCTGGCCTCTCAGGTGGACTTTCGCGGAGCAGAATCTACATCCGAGAACAGCAAAAAGAAAGTTCGCCAATTTTAATCGCAAATTTCAATCGCCGTTTTCGCGAAGGAACTCGGATTTTCGCCGCGAAAGGCAACTTTCAAACCCTTTCGAGGAAATTCAGCACGATTCCCCGGGGGACGGGAAGGGCCCAGGAAAGGAAAGGAAGAGGCAATGAAGGTCACGGTCTCATTCCTCGGGACAGGAAGCGTGACAGGAAGCGCGACAGGAAGCGCGAGGATTAACGGGAACCCAAAAAAAGGGAAATTCGAAGATGGGGGGGGGGGGGGGGGGAGGAAGAGGAGGGGACCGCATGAATTCCTTCCGTGAATAATCATTTCCCCTCATTGTCCAAAGATGGGACGACCTTGCCCCCCCCCCTATTGCCCCTCACTGCCCCCCCTCTAAGTCTCACCTCGTAACACCAGGTGGCATTTGTGGTGGCCTGGACGGCGGCGCTGGTGGCGAGCCAGACCGTGCATGACGCGGCGGCTCCGGCTCACGCGGCGCAGGCGGCGGACGCGGCGGACACGGTGAAGACGGAGGCGGTCGTCGCTCAGTCCGTCGACCCGACTCGACCTCAACTCCCGAATCTCGGTAGGTCTAATTTTCACTATTTTACGAATAAATTTTGCTTGCAATGATTTCTACATGAAATGCATACTTTCATTTTATTATTTTTTCTTAAAATTATTTATAAGTTTTTACCATATTTTAAAATTATTCGTTAATATCCTCATGGAATTAATTAAGTTTCGAGGGAGGCTGGTTCTTCTCGTTGCAAAATTCTGGAATTCGGCTTATTCTTAAATTGTCAGGGAAAAAATATATTCGATTTAGGAGTTGGAATACTTTTCTAAAGGCTTCCAGCAAAACACGACGCGAAACGCGACGAACCGCGCGGCCGGTCCCATAAAGCGAATAATCGAGGGAATCGGTTCGTTCCAGGAACGCTATACACCGGACCCGTCGGAGCGGGGTACTTCCGCCGCACCGAGTCGGGACTGGAACTGTACTACACGACGGTGGGAGACGACGACCCAGCGTACTACAACACCGGCGCCCTGGGAGCCGGCGCACTGGGAGCCGGCGCCCTCGGGGCCGGCGCCCAGGGATGGAACGGCGGGGCCTTCGCGGGACTCGGCGGGATCGGCTACTACCGGCCGTGGAAGCTCATCGCCACTTACGCGGCGCCGATCGGTTTCCGCGGAGGACTCTATAGAAACCGCTTGGGCTACCTGATTCCACTTCGCCCTCAGTCCTGGTTCTATCCCGGTTATCCCACGCCCTATGGAGGTCTAGGAGGGCTTGGAGGGCTCGGAGGGCTCGGAGGAGTAGGAGGGCTTGGAGGACTCGGAGGGCTCGGAGGAGTAGGAGGGCTTGGAGGACTCGGAGGACTGGGAGGACTGGGAGGAGTAGGAGGACTGGGAGGACTCGGAGGACTTGGTGATGTAGGAGGTCTTGGAGATGTAGGAAGTCTTGGAGGAGTAGGTGGTCATGGAGGAATAGGCGGTCTTGGAGGAGTAGGCGGTCTTGGAGGAGTAGGCGGTCTTGGAGGAGTAGGCGGTCTTGGAGGACTTGGAGGTGCCCTCGGCCTCGGTCTGGGCCAGTCCATTCTGCCCTACGCCTCGAGCTACCGCAGAGGCCTCTACTCACGGAATCGCCACACTGCTGTCTGATTCGTTCCTCCGATCGCTTTCACTTTGTAGACCTAGAAGTATTTTTTTTTCGAGGCAAATGTCTTTGGTAGGCAAATGTCCTTGGTAGACACGGTCAGTCTTCCTGGTGAAGGCATTCAAGATTTAGACAATAAAGCGATTCGAGGAAGTCTGGTGTCGCTTCACTCTACTCCATATTTCTTCTTGCCACGTAAAGTCACATACACCATGAACCCACGTAACCATTAAGCCATGTACCCATTAAGCAATTTTTTAATATTAAGCCATGTAACCATCATGAAGCCCACAGTCGCCTGTTAAAAACCCAAAAGTACTCTCCGCGTTTCCACCATACAGGCCGTCTAGGGAAGAAAGACAGAAAGGCTCGGCATAACGATAGCGCGCAGGTGAAGGTCCACATCGACATCAGACACGGTCGACACGGTCGACTCTCGACGACTCGCCCGACGGACTCCTCAGACGGGAATCCGAAAACCTGGAATTTTCGTCGACTCGAATTTCCCTCGAGCTTCGAGTCATCGAGAGTCGACCGTAGCGTCGGCATGCGTCAGATGGCATCCGAGAAGGATCGACCCCAGCTGCTTCGCGTGGAAAACCATCAACACGACTCTTTTCTTTTTTCCTGCAAGAAGCGAAAATTAAAACTAAAAATTCGATAAATGAGCCGATTACCCCAGCTCCCACGGATTTCACCGACCGGATTGGCAACTTGTCGTCCACCTGTCGAAATCCCGTTTTTATTTTCACACCTGCCGCGATCCCTCTCCGAGAAACGCCGACCTCGCGACACTTTCCAGCACCGAGGCGCCGATAAAGTGATGGTAGGAACCACGGCGGCATTACCGCTTCCGAGAATTTCTTTCGGCTCTGCAGTCCCTCGATCCGATCTCAAAATTTCATGTCCCAAACTGCTTTTCAAGAATCCACAACTCGAGAACAGAGCCAACATGGAGGAACCAAAACCATAATGCAACCGTGGAAAATTTTCATCGAGCCGATTTTAAATAGACGGTTTTCTTTGCCCCATTTTCCGGCAATTTTGCAAAGCTATCAAAACTCCACATCTGATTGTCTCTCTCATAGTAAGTTGGCCTTCATGGAAGCTGAAAGTGCATGAATGTATCAGATTCCATGAATGCATCAGGTATTGCCTAAAGGCATCGAGTATCATCTAAAGGCACCATGTATCGTCTAAAGGCATCAGGTACCGGCTGAAGGCATCAGACTGTAAAACATGCTTTCCTCCACTAACTCTCCTCCCTCAGGCGAGAGGTGGCCTTGGTCCCTCTGCCCCCCCCCCAGAGGACATCCTCACACGACTCGCACCTGCCCAAATCCACCGACACTCCACCGGATCACAGATTCAAAATCGACACGAAAGGGACAACCAAAATAAGTCATATTTCTCACAACTATCGAGGTCACCATCTCCAAACATTGAAGTCGGGGGGAGGGAACGCTACAGACTACACGAGGCAGGCGTCCCCGGCCGCTACCGTCGGCCGACACATCACGAGGAGGGCGATGCCATCGTCCATCGGATTCAGCAGCCTCCATCCTTCGGCCTCTGGGCCTTGCCCTTGCCCTTTCCTCGGTGGCGCGTCTCCTGCGGGTCGAAGCCCCTCTCCGTCGACGCGTACAGGGCCCACGGAGGGGTCCGGGCCGTGTAATCCTGACGAACACGGAGAACGGGACGATGAAACATCATTTTCACCGTCATGCCGGTATCACTCAACATCACCGGTTTAAGTTAACTCGAGTCAAAATAGCTCTAGACATTCATCCAATTTCGTCTTCCTCATGTTTCCCAACTAAAATCTGCTGCATTTAGCTCTGAAGGCACTAAAAGAAAAAATTTAACCCAATCGAATGATTGACACATCATTCTGGCGCGATTTTCTTTCAATTGCAAAGAAAAATGTAATTCCAAATGCATCGGATTCACGATGCAGCCAGACGGGCAGAGGCCAGAAGCAACGACGAGGGCAAATACACCCGATCCAGCGACCGTATGGCCCCGGGGGAAAACACCGGTACTGCTAAAATGCCATCTTACGAGAGAGGTGAAGGACTTGAAACCCCCGGATTCGTAGTACTCCTCCACGAGGTCCTGGAACTTGTCGTAGTCGATCCACGTCTGCCACTCCCCGTTCACTCGGAACTGCAACATCCGATCCACAAATCTCACACTTTGGTCCCGTTCGAAAACAAATCAATGCATCGAAACCTGCATCTACTTGTCTAAACGCATCGGGAAAGGGTCAACGTGAAATTTTGAAATTTGCCAAAAGGGCAAGAAATGACTCATTTTCTGAAAGAAGTAATGTCATCGGGGGAGGCTCGCTTTAGTTTCAGCTCGAGTAAAAACATTCTTCGGTGGTCATTACTTGGGAAGAAAAAGGGCTCATTCTTGCTCCCCTGGTGAAGTAAAAAAAAAAAAAATTATTTCGCCCTTTTGTCAATTTCAGCCGATAAAATGCCTGTGGCATTTACATTGCCAGCCGATCGATTTCGATTTTTAATAAAGGGAGCAGTCACTTTCATGACTCCTCCTCACAAATTTGCCGAGTCGTTAACGACATCGACAGAGGTCCATTCGGACTTTCCCACGCAACTCCACCTTGCGATGTGCAAGGAGGACACAGTTGGAGTGCTCATGCTCGCAGGCGAAATCGTAGTCCTCGTCCAGGTGGCGCTGGAGGGCTTCGACGAACCGGACCACCTCTTCGTGCCAGGGGACGCGTTCCATCGTCAGGCCCCCCGTGGCGTTCTTCGACGTCCCACAGTACGTCACGCCCTGGCGAGAGAACAAACAAACATATCATCTACAACACAAATAAATGCAACCAGGAGTGGGACATCATTCAAGAACCAGGATTCCTGTCACCACAACACTTTTCGGTCATCAAAGCATGCAGGGATCCCGACGACGAAGGGCAAGGATGTGGAGCATCCAACAAGGACCTTCCCTCCCTCCAAGAGGCAAGGTACACAAACCGCTCGGGAACGTACAGTCACCCGAACGGTGAGCTCGCACGCTCGGCACACGCACGGATCCCGAGGGAAGAAGACCCACCTTGACCTCGATGAAGTCCGGAGACCCGAGATCGACGAGTTGGGCATAGGCCTCGACCTCCTCATCATTCCAGCCCTTGACCAGGGTGAGTCGGTAGACCGTCCTCTGACCCTTGTCCTTGAGGACCTCCAGGCACTCGAGGAATCGCTCCCAGAAGTCCCCGAACAGGGGTCGGTCGATGCCCTTCAGCCGCTCCTTCGTCGCCGCGTCCACGCTCACGTACAGCTGCGTCACCGGTGACAGCTCCCTGGATTCCATTTTAACAGAGAGAAGCAAAGTGAGTTCATCTTTCTCGGTCCGGGGCCTGGAATGCGCTCGGAACCCAATTTTATACATCATGATCATTCCTATGTTCCATGTGGGTGGTGTCGGTACTTTCTTTCCCCACAAGCACAGCTACAGTTGATGACATAACGAACTTCCATAAATGTTCTTTTTTGCTTATTTGCTTCAAGTTCCCAATGGTTTGTCCATCCATTTCCAAGATTGTTAAGAAGTTTTTCCATAACAAAATTCACCATAAGGAATTGTACAGTTTTACAAATTCTTTTCCATCTGAAGGACCAAAACAGTGTTCGACTAAAACATTGTTCAAAATGAAGACCGACCCCAGGAACTCATTCACGAACGAGCCCAAAGACCAGAAGAAACCTCCACGGAACACTGCAAACGCCCCACCTCATGGGCTGCGGGAACTGCGCATTGGTCACCAGGAAGGACGAGATCCGCCTCCGATGCAGGAGCCGGAGGAAAGCATCGATGTGCGGGTACATGATGGGCTCCCCGACCAGGGACAGCGCGCAGTGCTTCGCCGCCAGCCCCTCCTCCATCCGGTCCGCCTTCACACCGGGCACCCCTGCTCGCATCCACATCCATCAAATCCCAATCGCTTATATGCAAATTAAGCTCGTGACTAGAGCTCCGAGTTGAGGTCGAACATTATTTTCCACACATACATCATTTAGGCATTAAAAAAATTAACACTTCTAGTGGAAATGTGACACTCCTTGCCAATGGGTCCAATTTTCAACAGTATTACAGCTCATTACTTAACAAATTAAGAAATATTCTAGCTGTAGACACCCGGAAGAGATATAAGTAGGTGAAAATTGTCTTCTTCAGACCTAGCATTATCCAAGAAAAGCAGACTCTAAGGACTAAAGGCTCCTCATTCCATCTGACCAAATTCAGCATAATCCCAATTCATCAAACTGTAGAAATGTTTTACTGCTTGAATAAAAGTTCTGGGGCATTAGAAAAATCAATCTGCATACAAATTCATTCTGCAGCCAGACAATGTCTGCCAATATTTTTCATATTTTTTAATTAGTTCATATATGAATAAACACCTGCTGATAAATTCAGCATGTGATGCCTGAAGCCAACAGTAGGGTTTCCAGGAAAAAAAAATTTACCATTACCTGATGGTTGCTGAAGGATCTCACTTTGTGCCTTTCATTACCAGGCACAGAAGGCAAACAGATGAAGAGACCTCTTTTGACCATCGCTGGCCAGAGTTTCACCAGCTTGCCATCAATTAGACACATCTCCATGCAATCGTTATCTATCAGATATTTGCACACTACATATTGAAGACTTAAAAATGGAACGGTCAGAAGCAAGCAGACCTTTGAACTGCCGGATCAGGCCGTAGTGGTGCTGCAGCGCATCGCGGAGGATGTCCTCGGGGTCGTCAGTCTTCCATCGCCACTCGGTCCCGACGGGGTTCGAGTGGTGGCGCCAGCAGAAGACACACTTGTTGGCGCAGGCCAGGCTGGGCGTGGCCTCCATGCACCGGTGGCTCTCGATCCCGTAGAATGCGTGCTTGTAGCATCCACCCCGACCGCGCAGCATCGACTGGGAGACACGTCGCAGAGGATTCGTGGTGTATTGCATCGTGTCAGTGCAAACTTAAATTTGAGACCCTGATCCCAATTGAAAAAATGCTGACATGTTCTATCATTCCATTTTTCACTTGCCACAAGATGGAAATTTTTTGCTTAAATTGGCAGTAATCTGTTGAACTTTATAGACACCTGACAGAATTTTCATCTCCAAAAGTTGGAATACCTCTCCTTTCACGTGCCTGTACGTACGAGGGCTTGCCGAAAAGTTCTGAGCCAAAGGCCCTTGCATTTGCAATACCCTATTCTTACCCTTCTCATGGGAAGAAAGATGCCTTTGATGACGAAAACCAAAATGTTGCTTTACTTGACAATTAAAGAAAGCTTGTAGGAATTTCTTTCAACATGCAACCAAATGGTTTTTTGAAGGGTTAATACATTTTGGGATGAATGCCATCATGAATTTCCTAGCCTCTATGTATCTGATCTCCAAGCAGACCTTTCAGAGAAATGTCAGGACTAATTCTCTCAGCAGCTCAATCACATGTTACCCTCTCTCTTTTCATGGGTTGGTGAAGTACATCGACATTGGTAGCGAAAACTTGCATGTTGCCAGCAGTTCAGACGATGTCCTATCGGTAGCTGGTTTTAATGGCTGCCAATACATATGTACAACTCTGATGCCTTAATTTCAACTACACAGGAATTTTCTTCAAACTCAGCACGCAAACATAGAGCCAAGTGGAACAAACCTTGGTCCAGCGACACATCTTCACCCCAGAGTGGGTGCCAACCAGCCGGTAGCCTTGCTTGGTGAGAGCCTCCCTCAGATCGGGGGTGATCATCTCCTTCACCCCGCTTTCCCCACGACCCTCCGGCGTCGGCCGCTTCCCCTTCTTCGCGCTAAGAAGCTGCGACATGTAAGAGCCCAGGTCCTCCATGTCCATCACCTTCTCCCCTCCTCCCTTCTCATCCTTCCCTTCGTCCTCGTCCGACGAACACTCTGACGAGCAGCTCCCACTCTGCAGATGCAAAAAATTTTGTTGTCATACCCACAAAGTCCAGACACAATGCAGCTGATGAAAATGTCTGAACACCAACATGAAATGAGAAAATGCTAATTACACACATACAAATATTAATGTCTGTTGATTTTCTTTATATCAATGAATCCATCCATTAATATTACTGTATTTACTCGTGTATAAGGTGCTTTTTTTTTGCATATATTATTGTGTTCGATGAGGGAGTGCGTCTTATACTCGAGGAAAAAAATTCTCATTTTCAAGAAGAAAATTTTTTCTCATTGGTCACTTATTGAGGCAGAAACAGCGTCTGCAGTCAGTCAGAACCGGGGAAATATAATATGATAATAATAATGAAACAGTAAACAGGGAGTGGCTATGTCAATTCTTGGACTTCATTCAGTATCAGAATCTGAGGTGTCTGGCAGCGTGGAAAATCGATTCGCGGAACTCTCATCCTCCTCCGAGGGGCCATTCCAGAGACAATCGTTTCTCACTGAAATTTTTGAGCCGATGAGGTTTTCCGACGAAGAGAAAATCCAACTCTTGTCATGAATGCGAGTGAATCCAACTCGCACCATTCATCCTCATAATGCATTGAATTTTCAATGGGAGATCCTGTTTTCTCTTGCAATCGTATGGTCACATCTCGATCACTCTCGGCTACTTCCTTCTTGATTACCAGAAATGATCCCAATAGTTAGGGATACTGTGCATCCCCTCGATAAAGGTTAGGATAGTGAATAAGAAACGAGGTTCGGCCTACCTCAAGACCGGCTTTACCCCTTCTTCATCTCCCTTGTCCGACACTTTTCACTGTGAAATGGGGGGGTGCACCTTATACACGAGGAATCTTTTTTTACGTAAATTGGGACCTCAAAAGCGGGGGTACGTCTTATACACGGTGGCACACTATACTGGAATGAATACGGTAATTACATCTAATAATTAATTACAATTAAATATATCCCATATTTTCCATGAATCATCATCTTATTCTACTCACACCAGTTCATACAAATCAATTATCGCTGGCACCTTTGAGGTGCCCAGAACCTGAAACTGAAGATCTACTGGGTAGGATTGGGTAATGCAGCATCAAAAATGTACTCATCATGCTAATAAGTTCCCATGATGGCACCACTTTCAAATGAGATTCAAAGAGAGTATTATGAGCTGATTAACATTTAATTTACAAATCAAGCAGTCTGGAAATAACTGGGCTTCAAATTTCAAGAATTAGCAAAAAAAATCATTCAATACAGTAACTTTTCCCATAAAGAGCTAAGGCAAGTACATTCACCACCTAAGTCTGCTTTTGAAAGGAAATGCATTTTGTGACCAACATCAGATGCATAACAGCTCCAACAATATCACAGCAGACACCTGCCAAGGATACCCGAATCTGATGGCTATAAAAACCAACAGTGCTGTTTCCCACCTCAACCAATGACAAAGGACCTCCTCGCCCCGAGTCACTCGGTATCTTTTCCCAACAGTGGCTGCAATGGAGGAAATATCTGAGGAGACAAGGCAAGAGAGCAGCTCTAACATCTGCCAGCCAAACTGATTCCAAGGGATGCCTAAAACTACGCAAGGAAAAAATGCCTCCACCTCATCTGGAACGACCGCGCTCCGACCGAAGCCACCGATCATGCACTTTGCAACAGAGTAGAGACCTTTCCCATGAACTCTCCCCGAAAAACAACAGATGGCAAAATCATGAGACGACCAGTCTGCATGGGCTGCATTCAATAGTGTGGCCTGACCTTATGAGCCACAGTTGACCTGCTGGTACACCTAACCCCAATCACTCACTAAAAGTCACAGTTGCCATCAACTTCATCAGACATGCCAAAACTTAAACGAGGATGCACAGATGACCATATATCTAGGACACAACAGACTTAGTGTAAGGAATTGTTCGAAGCTGGATGCCAGAACAGTTGAGACATCTGCCATCTGGATCGAGTACCACAGTTTCACGATGACACAGAGGGCATGAATACTCCCAGGATTTCTTGCCTTTCCAGAAACAACCACTGAACAGCTTGCACCTCTGTTAAAGCCTCACACTTTCATCAAACCAGACAAAATGAAAGCAGACCTGGTGGCCGTCGCCGCCCCCCTTGCCGTCTTTGCTCCCGCAGCCGCACTGGTGCCCCGAGTCCTTCTTCTTCCTCGGCTTCCCAGCCTCGTCGCTGCCAAACAGCGCGGCCTGGACCCGCTTCTTCCACTCTGCGAAGTCCTTGTCCAAGCCTCCATTTGCGCTGGCCGCCCCGTCCTCGTCTCCCAGTGTCAGGGGTATGAAGTACTTGGCTCCCAGCTTCACCAGAGCAGCATCCAGCTCCTTCGATGCCTGCAAGGAATCATCCAGCTCTAAAATCAGTCTTCAGCAGGAAGGGTGGCAAATTTGTTCCTCTAAGAAGCTAAATTCAACTTTTATTTCAATTTCAAAGCTTCTATCATTCTTGATGTAAATTTTGCTTTTAAAAATATGTGGAAAGCTGGGAGAATTACCAAGGAATTCCATCTCTGTGAAACAATGTCCAGAAGTTCCAAAAGCTTTGGGACTTGGGACAGGCATCAGGATTACATATTTGAAAATAAATTATGCTAATGTCCAATGCCATGAAAAGTTAGCTTTCCCTATGCTTGTGAATCATCATCACACCAAATGTTCTCACAGCCACTGCAAACCAAGGAAGAAGTCTGGAAAAAATGCTTGGACTCTGACGGAAAGTGAACCTGAGCCCTTCTTTTTGCCTGTCTGATGCTTTTCACAATCTTCTCATCACAGCCAACCCCCATATTGCCCCCATGCCCCCAGACAGTTCACACATTCAAGCCTCGAAATCACCAAAAAACAAAAACCACAGCCAAAGCCCTCCCAACGAAGAATCCTCGCCTTATTGAAGTCGGGTCCATAGGCCGAGTTCCCGAGGCCAAACGCGGCATACGCCATCCCCTGCAGGAGGGTGTGATCCACCCGGAAGTCCTCGGCCGCATCCAGCACCCACCGGTGGAACCACGCCGCTGACTCCGGAGGGCCCCCGTCCGTGTGGGTCGACAGGAGGAACAGGAACGCCGTCCCCTCTGCCACCTACCGAGAAGACCATCAGCGATCGAACTCGCATGAGATCCGCATCGTGAAACGAGGATCCGCACCTCGTCGACGAGTCGATCCTCCGGGTCGAACCCCTTCATGCCATGGATCTGGACGTCGAGACCCAAGCTCCCCAGGTACTCGTACAGCTCCTCAGCGAATCTCTGCTCCGACAAGGACGGATTGCAACCAATCAGAACTGTTCAATCATAATGACCATTTTTTCCTATTCATAAAAAATGGTTATATTAAATAAAGTGTTTGGGAATTTGAAGCAAGTGCAGCCTTTATCTAACCATATCTATGCCAGTAATCTCAGCTGCACCACCTCTGCACAGAGTATCCAGCATGGGAAAAATATAGTCACAGCATACAAATAAATAAACTATGGATTTTGAGCCTAATATGCTGGTGACTAAGAGATCTTTACTTTAATAAATATGAAAAATCAGCTAAAGAAGCAGATCAACAGGAGAAATAACACTTGACAGGCAATCAAGTTTCTAGATTATCTTTGCTTTGTGAAACAAATTAAACGAACATGGAGCGTGCTCAAATATGCACAAGTAGAAGCCTTAGAAGGTGATACCACAAAAATGGACATTAGGATCAAGTACCTATTCAAATTCATGATACACATTCAAATATGAAAGGGCAAAGGAGTTAACAAAAAAAAAAAAAGATTTGTAGATATTTGTAGTTTAATCCTAGACAAACCTGAGCAGTGCCTGTCTGAGACCCATACAGCAGCAGCACTCGCTGGATGCTGGGGAGGACCTTCAGCAGGTTCTCATCCTTCTTGCTGCAGCAAGTGCCTCCATCCGAGCAGCAAGATTTCTTGGCCTTCTTCACCTTTGCCTTGCCTGGTTCTTGTCCTGGGGGAGCCTCTACTTTTTCTGTGGGAGCATCTACTTTTCTCATGGGAGCATCTGCTAGTCCTGTGGGAGGCTCTGCTTCTTCTGTGGGAGGCTCTGCTTTCACAAATGACTCACTGGCACTTTTGCCGACCGATTTGTCGGAGTTGAGGAACATCCAGACCACAAACAGCACGAGGAGGCCGAAGAGGGCTCCTGTGAAGCCACTCACGGCTGGAAGGCCCAAAAAGGCCCACATCTCACAACCTGCAAAAACTGGAAGGAAAAAGAATTTATTCATGACTAGAAGCACACTCATGACTAGGAACACCAAGACTAGGCAAGATTTTCAAGATGGAACAACTAAGTGGTAGTCCTCCTGCTTGTGTTCGTTACGTGCAACAAATTGCCGCCGACCCTCCAGATAGAGCATGGACTCATGATACGCCTTTGGGAGCATTCTGTCCACCTCCTTTGGTACGACAAAAGTGAAATGGAACACGTTCGTCTCCTCCTTTTGACCATCGACTGGATTCATCACTTCCGCACTCACCCGCACCTGCAGGTGACACCCTTCGGTGAATACGACTTGGGATGCCATGTACAACAGGGATCCAACCTCCACTGGGCGACGAAACCAAATGTCATCTATGAACTCAATCGTGGGCGCCTGTCGGCTGACAACATATGCGTTGGCCCATGCCAGTTCGAACGCCTGGCGCATGATGAACCCGCCAAAGATCTTGCCAAAGCGGTTGCGGAACTCTGCGTGACAGATGATGACGTTCTTCAGCTTGGCATCCTCCATCCACATGTGCCCTGGAGGTTTAACACGCGACTGGAAGGTGTGCCTCAATGGATCGAGTGTGGAAAGGAAAAGGTCATGAATGATGATGCGCTCCTGCTCGTTTGGAGGCTTCCTAAGCAGAGATTCTTCTCTGGTGTTCTTGCGCCTCAAGGCATTGGCCTCGCCTCGTTTGTACAGTAGAATTTCGCTTTCACTTCCAAGTTTGAGTGGGTTTGCAGGAACACCCCGGTCTCGTATGGCATCACGCAGCACCATCACGAATAGCGCATGGGTGATCAAGTTCCATGGTTGCCCCTCCGGCCCCCACTGGTGCAAAGCAAGGCTCACCTCGACGGAAGACTTGCCGACCCAGCTCACGTGCCCACTCAGTCTCAGATCCTTGTCTGGGGAAACCTTCCCTTTGATGAAGCTGATTTCGTCCACCAAAGCAGTGACGATGGTGTACGGAAGGGGCTGAGACTCGTCCTCCTTTGGGTTGAGGAGGTGGTGGAGGGTGACCCATGCGGCAAAGACGTCCATGTCCTCTAGGAGTCGACCGATGCGCACCCCTCCCGCCTTGGTCAGATACCGGGGATGGAGGTCCTTGTTCGAGCCAAGCGGGAGGACCACCTCACAGAAAGAGTCCTGCATCCTTCGCTCCGGGAGCTCTGCCTGCGTTCCGGGGATCTGCGTCGGATCCAGCATGGCCTTGTCCGAGTGCGGCACGAGGTAGCTCCCGATCCTCTTCAGCATCTCCTCCATGGTCATACTCGGGTTCGTGCTCATCCGACGAGCCAGATGCGGACCCCTCGGCAGCAGAGCCTTCACGAGATTCATTCCAAGCTGGTTGTCTCTTGTGGCTTCTTTCCAATGTCCAAAAAGAGCACTTTCAATGGTAGAAAGCAAGTTGGATTCAACTCAAGTCAGTATGGAGTTTAATCACAAGGCATTTCCAGGATTTCTTAATTGCTATCATCTCCAGAGACTTTAAATTTCTTTCATGGCATATAGAAAAACAATTTTCTGGAACCCAAGCACCAGATGATGAGGCAAAGCTGCTGCTTATTACACAAATAAGCTATTCAGCTAGGTGATGAGAGTGCTGAAGACCTTGGAAATCAAGTGAAAGTCTCATCTTCAAAGCATATTTTCACGCCAATTACTGGATTTACAATAAAAGCAACCTCATAAGTGCACGTCCACACAAACAATATATACAAATGCCACAAGGTATGATCAGATCTCATTTCTCATCCCATCAAGCAAAGAAGAATTCAAAATTCATTTTAAAATTTGATACTTCCAGGGCAATCCATGGAGTGTAATAATATAACACTTCAACCCCCCAAAAATCTTAATTGCAATTTCCTCATCGCCCCAGAGGATATTCACTCGGGCTCTCAAGAAGATATTGAACTTGAATGCCATTAAAGGACAAGGATTCCTTCCTCACCCAGACATACAATGGGAGGGAAAAAACAGGTCTCATTGCCCAATATGGCCATTTATGGAATCCAAGTGAGGAAGGATTCTTAATTTGACCAAAAGTCCAAATCTTAATTGGGCCAACTGTCCAAATTTTAAATTGGCCAACAGTTCTTGATTCAGATGTACAATGGGACTCACCAGCGCCATATATCCCATACAAAGCTGTGTGTTGTGTGTGTCACTGGCCTGGAAACCAGGCCGGGGGACACAATGCCCCTCGACATGCGAGTCATTTGTGAGCAGGTGCTTGTTTTCGGGGTTTCTTTGTTTCATTTGCATCAAATTTGCCGATCCTGCTGGCTAAAAGCTGAAATTCCTTCACTGATCAGAAGCCACAGAGTGAAAGGGATTTCCGAAGATTCTGAAACATGTTCTTCATTCTCATCAAGTCATGGAAATGTTGCAGATTCCTTGTAAAAGGACCACAAATTTTCTTTATAAGATTTTATTTTTTAAGAATATCAGCTATCATGGAGATTGAGATGTGGGGTGCTCCATAACTAAACCAGCTTTGACAATGATGAATACACAAAATAATATGGATACAGGGTCAATGAAACAAATTATAATATGGCCGTTGTCTTTTTAACTAAATGACACCAATTTCAAGTTGCAAAATTGAATGAGACAAAAAGACATCAAAACCATCAATTTCAGAGAATTGGTCAGGAGGTGAATTTTAAGTTTAAGAGAGGGTGATCAGGTGAAATTACTCATGTCAAGCCACCCACAGTAGGAAAATCCACCAGAGTTCATGCATCACAGCAAAAGAGCCGAGGATGGCTCACATATCACAGGAAAAAGTTTCACCTAAAAAAATACTTTATTATGGAATGAAATCATGAAATGTAAACATACTAGATCACGAGAGTGGGGCTTAGAGTGGCTTAGAGTGCATCCAAGCCAATGTATTCCTCCTCTTGACGGTCGCTGCGGGACACAAAATGCCGCCGGCCTTCCAGGTACAGCATGGACTCGTGATATGCCTTGGGCAGCATCTGATCCACCTCTTTTGATACGACAAAGGTGAAATGGAAGGTGTTGGTCTCCTCCTGCTTCCCTGACTCCGGATCGACCACCTGGGCACACACCCGCACCTGCATGCGGTGGCCCTCAGTGAATACGACTTGGGATGCCATGTACAACAAGGATCCAACCTCCACTGGGCGACGAAACCATATGTCATCAATGAACTCGATTGTGGGTGCCTGTCGGCTGACGACATACGCGTTGGCCCAAGCCAGTTCGAACGCCTGGCGCATGATGAACCCACCAAAGATCTTGCCCAGCTGGTTGCGGTCTTCCAGGTGACAGATGACGACCTTCTTCAGCTTGGCATCCTCCATCCAGATGTAACCCAGAGGTCGCACGCGGGACTGGAAGGTGTGCTTCTCTGGGTTCAACGTGCGGAGAAAGAGGTCGTGGATGATGAAGCGTTCCTGTTCTGTCGGAGGCTTTCGGAGCAACGATTCTTCGCCATCAGTCTTGCGTCTCAAGGCATTGTTCTTGCCTTGGTTGTACAGCTTCAGTTCCAAGTCACTTGCCGGTTTCAGAGGATTCGCCGGAACAGCCTGGTCCAGAACGGCATGACGCAGCACCATCACGAACCATGCATGAGTGATCAAGTTCCAAGGGTGAGGTTTTTCTCCAAATTGGTGCAAAGCAAGGCTGATCTCAAGTGACGACTTGCCAACAAAGCTGACGTGCCCACTCAGTCTCAGATCTCTGTCTGAGGAGATCTGCCCTTGGACGAATCTGATCTGGTCCACGAGTGCCGTGACCAGATTGTATGGGAGCGGCCGGGTCTCGATCGCCTTCATGTCGAGGAGGTGGTGGAGGCAAACCCAGACTGCAAAGATATCCATGTCCTCCAGTAGCCGACCAATGCGCACCCCACCGATTGGGGATAGATAACGCTTGTGGAGTTCCGGGTTCGAGCCGAACGGAACGATGACCTCGCAGAACGAGTCCCGCATGCTTCGTTCAGGGAGGACCTCCTGAGATTGTGGAACCTGAGAGGGGTCGAGCACCACCTTCTCCGTAACAGGGACGAGGTACTTCGGGATCTTTTTCAGCATTTCCTCCATCGTGAGGTACTCTCTCGGCAGCACGTGCACCTGTCGTACCAGGTGCAGACTCCGGTGCAGCAGCTTCAGGATTGTCATGGTGCTCAGCTCTTCTGTGTGTTCCGACACACCAACATTCAAAAAGGAGCCACACACTGCAGAATCATGCAGGAGCAAAGCAGCAAGCAGGAACTTTTAACATGCAGTTTCTCATGTCACATTCTTGAAAATTAGCAATACTTAAAAATTTTGATTAAATAATTGACTGACAAACTTCTCACATCAGTGACTTCATAAAATATATGAAGATATTATTGCACACATTTCAATGACATACAGGAAAATGCCAAACTTGAAGGCTAAAAAACATTTGTTTTGTTTCTCTCATTGAAGCAAACACATTACAATGTATTATTCTCATCAACTGTTAAAAGCAAGCATTCTGAAGCAAATCTTACTGCCATCATGCTTCCAATATGAAGACTGTGTTTCATGTGTCACTGGCCTGGAAACCACGCCGGGGGAAGCACTGCCCTTGACACAGTTCAGCAGAAAAATTCCCTTTGAAAATGCGTTGTTACATATGGTGTCGATCGTGCAGGGCGACATCACCCACAGACAAGAAGACACAGGGTCTACATCACTGCTTTATTCTTTGAACAGGGGCGACTCACATCATGGAGAAAATGAGAGACCCGTGCGAACACGAGAGGAAGCCTTTATTGCAACGCGGGGTCGTCCCGGTCGGCTCCATCGCGGACTAAAAAACGCCGGCCGGGAACTCGCCGTCCTCGACTAAACGTCTTCCCTACCTCCCCTCGCTCCCCCCTACGTCGAGGTTCGCTGATATGACGGAGGTCCTATATTGCACCTGTCGAGTGTCATGGAAGGCCATCTGGACGTTCGGGCCCAGCCATCGCAGAGAACGATTGCAAGAAAAGTTCTTGGAGCAACTACGACTGACTAGACATCTGAGCGACACAGGTTGACATTGCACAAAAGTTCCCGATAATATCGTGAGCAACGTTTCGCGATCGGCGGTTCGACCGATGCCGGAAGCTCGTGCAGTAAGCTACGACAAGACTCGTTGGCACTGCACCCTTCAGTGCGTTCCGTAATGGCAACATGCCACTCTAAACAACAACTCAACAAAATCCTGAGATGAAAAAAAATCAATGCCCTTTCCTTCGGAGAACTCCATCAAACAACAAATTCGAAAATGGCACATTTCTGCTTTGCAAACTGTCCTTGATGAGAAAAATCTCACTGTTGCACAATCTTATGATGGCCAACACAATCATAAAACCATGATCAAAAACTCCACACACAATCACGAAAAATCATCGATGATTACAATATGAAAAACTAATATCAAAAGTGACTTGAATGAGTATTCAACTAATGCAAAAAACAAGCAAAAAAATATTTGGTCTGATGGCTGGGTCCGAACGCCTCAAGAAGAATTTTGATCGTGTAGCAAAAAATCTCTCCTACAAAAACGAAATGGCTTCTTTAGCTCAAAAAAACATGGCAGTGCTGCCACTGGATAGCACACAAGAGATTCACAATCACCAGCAATGAACTTCCATCACACTCTACGGACCTGACGAAGCAAACGTTCGCCCATCACGAATGCCAGAGGATGGGAAGCTAGGGGAATATTGCACTAAGTGTAATTCTAATACTTTTTTTTCCCTTCACATGACTACCACCAAACTACCCATGTGCACTCGGGAGTCCATCCCACCTGAGATCCTACGACTCCAAAGCTACAAAAATACAGGTAGAAAAAAAAACGAAACAAAAGAAGAAAAAAGACACTACGGGCCTACGAGGCAATGACTACCCGATTGGTCGGAGCTGCTTGAAGTCGGTCGGTTCCTTTCCGAACGCTTCACCTGGCCTCCTCCGGCTGCGTCGGCGGACACGGCTCCGCCGGCGGCGCGCACGTCTCCCCCAGCTCAGGGGGACAGGCGTCGCCCAGCTTCTCCTCGTCCTTCTCCGTCTCCGCATCCTTGTCCTGCTCGGAGTTGGCGTTGGCATCTTTGTCCTTCTCCTTCTGGCGCTTCTCGCACTCTGCCTTGAAGTTCTCAATATCTTGTTGACTGAGGGAAGAAAGAAACAAAATTCTTATCTCAAAACTCATTTCAGCATGTTTTATAATAACATAAATTATATTATATGTAAAAGAAAAACGCTCAAGTGGCAACATGCGAGCGTCTTTCTGAGGAAATAAGTGCTTCATTCCCAACAGCGCCAATAATTTTGCAGCATCATTACTGCAAACAGCTCGGCCAACAGCAGCAACAACCCTCCCCTCACGCATCGATCTCGCACACCAGACGAACCTGATCTGGACAAAGAGGATGCCATTGATGATGTTGAGCATGTCCAGGACCGAGGCCATGGTCGGGGGTCGGATCTGGATCGGGGAGAGGGAGGGACTGACGTTCCCCCCCGTGTTGGCAGTCGCACCGCTCCCGCTGGCGCTCGCTCCGCTGTTTCCACCTCCGCTCCTCGTCCGCTGACCCGTGTAGATCTCGTTCATCTTCTTCTGAAGCACCACCGCCTGCTGTGTGAGGTAACGCAGGCACTCGCTCGACTCCTTCGTCTTCTCGTGATCCTCGCCCAACTGGAAATGCATCAGGATGAGTGGAATTATTCAAATGAGACAAACTCAGTAAGGAATACACCTTTAAAATCTCTTCAAAATGTGTAAAAATCAGCCATTAAAAAAGCACACAAAAAAAACACTTCAAGATCTCAATGAACTTGATAAAACAATCATGAGCCCACAAGCAAGTCAATGGCAAGATGGGTTTTGAGGCCGTTCGATTGCACTCGAGCAAGGCAGGGCCATGTTTCAAAATGTAACAATGCTTGCCTGATGCTTGTAGATGGCAAAGGTCTCCTTCTCGTTCTGGAGGGCAGAACGGAAGTCTCCCATGCAGCTCTGGGTGCGAGCCACCAGGTGGTACGACACCGCCACCTTGAGGCTCTTGGCCCCATAGTACTGGATGTTGAGGGCGAGGGCCTTCTCCAGGAACCGCAGGGACAGCTCGTACTCCCCGACAGCGTGCAGGATCAGCCCGATGTTGCTCTGACGGAGACAAAGCGGTTAAGGGTCGGAAAAAACCAAATGCTTTCAAACAGACTTTGTCATGTTTTTAAAATTCTTCTTAAAGGCTTCTTGCCCTTATAAATGCAATTCATGAAGTTACTTGACGTGACAGCATTCAGTTTTTTCACTGCAGAACGTTGTTCAAGCAATACTGTTCCTGGCCAATATTTACTTCATGATGGCACACAACCTCATAGAAGAGAGGGCCAATGCTTCTCCATGATAGAACAAAGACTGAGACACTTGGCCAGCACCGTGTCACAACGATAGGCAAGTTTGAGACTTGAGCCGAGCAGAAACAGAAAACCGACTCACATCGAGAAGGGCCACCTCGGGATGGTTCTCGCCGTGAACGAGCAGAGCCAGGTACCGAGCCCGGTAAAGGAGACGCAGCGACGTGCTCACCTGACTGTTCGCGAATGCGTACAGCGCCAGGTGCGTCTGGACGAGCAAGAGACAGGGTCAGCCACGAAACCGTGTGGACGCCTCGAACGACGCCACGGAACGCCGACTCACGTATTCGGTGATGGTGTACGGATGGTCGATCCCGTTGACGCGCTCCGACATGAGGACGGCCCTCTGCTGGTATGACAGCGCCTCCATGTGTTCTCCCATGATGTAGTTGAGGCGGGCCAACATTCGCAGACACTGTGCGATCTCTGCCAAAAAACCAACCAACAAATGTCTGTCACAGCAGGTTCAGGGCACAAGTAAACAGCAAGCAATACACCATATGTCTGCCAAAATGGCATCTAGTTTCTTGTTCATCTAAATTGCATGTAGCACATGAGCAGATAAATTCCTAAATGAAGAAAAAACAGCTCAACAAAAACAACTGAAAGAACACTGAAGATGCCCTACAGCTTCAATTCTGACACTCCTACACTCTATGGCCACATTGCAATAACAAAACAAGCTCCAAATTTGCCCTAAGATTGATTTACCACATGCCACTACAGACCAACTACAAGGGAAAGTTAGCCAAAAATGCAAATTCCCTCCCCAAAAAGAATTTCCTCTGCAGTGCAACTTTCTACCATGAATTCCTCAAGACCTTATTTCAGCAATCGATAGATATTTTCTAGTGCAACACGTCCCCGATCCGCGCGGGCAACCCGACGACCGCCTCGCCCCCGATGCCCCGCCTCACCCGGATGCATGGCACCGTAGACGTTGTTGAGGAGGTTGAGCGCCTCGCTGATGAGCTCATAGCCCTCCTTGAGGAAGCCCTGCTGGATCTTGGACTGGCCGGTGGTGTAGAAGTTGTACGCGTCAGAGGCCCGGGGATTGATGTGCTTCACGACCGGGAAGACGTTGAGGATGTCCTCCTCGAAGAACGCCTGTCGCGACTTCCCGTCCAGGCTGTACTCCCGCAGGAGGATCTGGATCCCCACCTTGATGCACAGCGCCCTGCCCGGCACAAATCCCATCGATATTTTTTTACTCAGTTTTTCTCATTGCTTTTTTCAAAATACTGCCTCCCTTATGCTGCCTTAATTTTGGCAAACTATCTATTCTTCCACAAGGTAACCTAAAAAAAAATTTTGCATATGTGTGCATATACCAAATGAAAAAAAAAAAACACTTCAGGGTACTCTTTCTAGTTGGAAGCAAAAAGTCTTCTTCCCCTTAAAAAAAAAAAAAAAATTCTTCCATGAGAGTCCTCTCCAGTTTCTCCCACGATTCACGCCCGCACCGCCGTCCCCACCCAAACACTCACCGTAGGAGCGAGACCTTCTGCAGGCCAAACTTCTCGACGGTGGCATCGATCGAGTCCGTCGGGAGGTCCCAGTGGTAGTACGCCTCCAGCTCCTCCCTGATCTGGCCCCACAGGGCCTTCGGCGTCAGGTGCACCCAGTCGAGGGAGTCCGGCGACGGAAAGCTGGGATGGCGACCCCCACTCCCGGCGGCCCCGCGCCGGCGCCGCTTCCGGCTGCCTCGGCTCAGCAGCTGCCAGAAAACAAAACGAGCCGTCGATGAAAGAAAATTCGCTCCCGTAGAGCCCCCCCTGAAACCTCGCGCATCTGTCCTCGCCACTCACTAAGAAGCACCAAAAGCAAGGCACTACAAAGCTCCCAAAAAAAAAAAAATTCCCCAAGGCCTCCTTCAAAGCTGCACAAGACATCAAATCCCCCCACCGGCCAGTCCAAGATCCAGCAGGGCTTCCTCAAGGAGGGCTATGAGCTCATCAGCGAGGCGCTCAACCTCCTCAACAACGTCTACGGTGCCATGCATCCGGGTGAGGCGGGGCATCGGGGGCGAGGCGGTCGTCGGGTTGCCCGCGCGGATCGGGGACGTGTTGCACTAGAAAATATCTATCGATTGCTGAAATAAGGTCTTGAGGAATTCATGGTAGAAAGTTGCACTGCAGAGGAAATTCTTTTTGGGGAGGGAATTTGCATTTTTGGCTAACTTTCCCTTGTAGTTGGTCTGTAGTGGCATGTGGTAAATCAATCTTAGGGCAAATTTGGAGCTTGTTTTGTTATTGCAATGTGGCCATAGAGTGTAGGAGTGTCAGAATTGAAGCTGTAGGGCATCTTCAGTGTTCTTTCAGTTGTTTTTGTTGAGCTGTTTTTTCTTCATTTAGGAATTTATCTGCTCATGTGCTACATGCAATTTAGATGAACAAGAAACTAGATGCCATTTTGGCAGACATATGGTGTATTGCTTGCTGTTTACTTGTGCCCTGAACCTGCTGTGACAGACATTTGTTGGTTGGTTTTTTGGCAGAGATCGCACAGTGTCTGCGAATGTTGGCCCGCCTCAACTACATCATGGGAGAACACATGGAGGCGCTGTCATACCAGCAGAGGGCCGTCCTCATGTCGGAGCGCGTCAACGGGATCGACCATCCGTACACCATCACCGAATACGTGAGTCGGCGTTCCGTGGCGTCGTTCGAGGCGTCCACACGGTTTCGTGGCTGACCCTGTCTCTTGCTCGTCCAGACGCACCTGGCGCTGTACGCATTCGCGAACAGTCAGGTGAGCACGTCGCTGCGTCTCCTTTACCGGGCTCGGTACCTGGCTCTGCTCGTTCACGGCGAGAACCATCCCGAGGTGGCCCTTCTCGATGTGAGTCGGTTTTCTGTTTCTGCTCGGCTCAAGTCTCAAACTTGCCTATCGTTGTGACACGGTGCTGGCCAAGTGTCTCAGTCTTTGTTCTATCATGGAGAAGCATTGGCCCTCTCTTCTATGAGGTTGTGTGCCATCATGAAGTAAATATTGGCCAGGAACAGTATTGCTTGAACAACGTTCTGCAGTGAAAAAACTGAATGCTGTCACGTCAAGTAACTTCATGAATTGCATTTATAAGGGCAAGAAGCCTTTAAGAAGAATTTTAAAAACATGACAAAGTCTGTTTGAAAGCATTTGGTTTTTTCCGACCCTTAACCGCTTTGTCTCCGTCAGAGCAACATCGGGCTGATCCTGCACGCTGTCGGGGAGTACGAGCTGTCCCTGCGGTTCCTGGAGAAGGCCCTCGCCCTCAACATCCAGTACTATGGGGCCAAGAGCCTCAAGGTGGCGGTGTCGTACCACCTGGTGGCTCGCACCCAGAGCTGCATGGGAGACTTCCGTTCTGCCCTCCAGAACGAGAAGGAGACCTTTGCCATCTACAAGCATCAGGCAAGCATTGTTACATTTTGAAACATGGCCCTGCCTTGCTCGAGTGCAATCGAAC